CATATTTTACACTAGTAAGTCTAAACTATTGATGGTTAGTATAATTCAGGCGTAAACCCCCACTCACTCACTCACTCAAGCAGACAGCGGTGAACGCCAGCAACCTGGTTATCGACCTTGTGAGCCCCTGCTATAAGCCTGCTTCACATTAAACAGGTGCGCGCGCAAGTCTATCGACAACGTCAAAGTGAGATGCCACATTGGAATGTGTTTTGTAATGAAAAGAGTCCTCCGTTAACACAATACCTCACAGTGGGAAACAACAAACAAGTTCAACATTGTCCGGATCATAACAAGGGATAGCACCCCGAAATTTGCACTACGCATTTCCATTGTCCAACGATCCTTAACTTGGCGAGGAGCTGTGCGTGGGTAACTTTCTAAACTCCCCTGCCGTTAGCGCATACCTCGACGGCCAAATCGCATGTTAGCAGAGCCAAATATTTTAGCGATGCGTTTTATTATTGTAATAAAAATGAACTCAGTTCGGATAGACAAAGTGGGTGGTCGAATGACCTTTGTCTCTGTCCCAACCAACACAATGACCTGTCTCAATTTAAAGGACATGGCTTACAGGTTATGAAGGGGAGATATTACGGACAATTAAAGAGATTTAGAGATGCCATTTTCTTGAAACGTTTCACCGAGAATGAAAGGTTTGGCGGCCCGAGTGGGTGGATAACGGTATTTTTTAAGACGGGGATGGGATGAGCGATGGATGAGGGAGCTGAGCGGTGGGGGGAGCAGGAGCTGGGGGTGCAGGGTGGTGACGGAACAGGGTGATGGAGGAGTAGGGTTATGGCGGTGCATGGTCACGGGGGTACAGGAAAGGCTGAACTGAAGATGGAATGCTGGAGCGTAAGGACGGGCCTCAGACAAGGATCCTACTGTATAATAGCATGTCAAAACGTGTAGGCGGACTGTACAATGGTTTTATTCTTTAGCCCAAAACGTGAAAAATGGACATTTACATTTTCAAAGGTTCCACACAATTAAGGTTCTATTCACTGTCAAGAATTCCATAATATCCCTCGATAAATGATATTAGTAACAGCGTTTTTAAAAAGAAAAAAAAACATCAAGAAAGCTTATGTAGGCATATTATTTCCGACCAATATCAATAATTTTTCGTCAGGATCAATAAAGGTTTTAAATGATTAGTTGTCATTTATATTTCATATTTTACTGTACACATCATTCCTTAATATGGCACTGTTTAGATTTTGTACATAGTTAATTCGAGCAATGACTAGTCTTTTAATAGTTTAATTCTATTACTGTGTAAAATACTGTATAAATCTGTGATAATCGAAATGCATACTGAAATCTAGTTAAGCTCTGCAAAAATCCGACCACTTCACAATCTCGAGCTCTTGAACGAATTATTATTAAAGCATTATTATGTAAACCCAAATGCTTATTTAAAATAATATATGGTACACTCAAAATAGAAATTCTATCTGCGTGCGGTAAGGAGGGTATCCCGCTGGCCATACTTTGGTCCAGGCTGTCAGTTTAACAGTTCAGTAAAGTGTCGACTGGGCTGATGGGTAATTGTGGATCTATATCCACGGGGCGTCAGGCATGTGGGGGCATATATACAATCTAAAGAACACTTATTTCCCTCGCGCGTGCGTGAGTGTATTGGGTTGTGGAGATGGGGTGGGGGAGGTTTGCAGGTGTCGAGTGAAGATGATGTTTGTGGGGATGCTGTGCAGGGTGCCGGAGTTATTTTAGGGATATAATTAACGTGACCAATATTATGAGCTTCTTCAAATGAAATATGAAATTACGTCCTGGACGTTTCATATGGTTGAGAATGTGCTTACACGTTTACATCTAGTGTTGATGTTCTAAAGATTCCGTGGACGTGTTAAATTAGATTATCTATACTCTGTGTGTGTATATATTTCCTATTTCATCAAGGACAACCCCTTAAGGTTCGCACACCTGTACCAAAGCTACTCAATTACAGACTACCTATAGAAATCCATGCCACTTAAGTTCATTAACGTTATATATGTCTTTAATTTTGAACTCAAGTCCCTAAAAACAAAAACAAATAACAAAAGGGCGAAAATTAAAAAACACACAATGCAAATCACTGCAAGCAAACAAAAATATTTGAAACAGTTTCACAGGTGGATTGACTGTAAACTGGACTGGGCTAAGAGTAAGTGTGTTGTGTAACTCAGGATGATTACTTACAGGATGGTATCATACTTAAAGTTTAACAATCTTTTAATTACAAACCACGAGGCCAAAACACGTAATACTCTGTTCTTATCATTGAGCTATAAATGATTTAATTGGCGAGTCCAGCTGAAGTCTTCGTGTAACATTAAAGCTGGTGATATTTGAATGTTGCCACTTTTCCACTGTACGTATTCTGTTTCAGATTTAATGCTATTGAAAACCAATACTAAATAAATTTTATGAAGATGTAGCTTTCTGCCGGTTAAATTTATGATGAAAATGTTTTTAAAGGTTATTTATTCTCTAAAGATAAAATGGCGTGGGATTATACAGAAAATAGTTCCAGCCCTGTACACGTCTGTAGATTATGAGAAAAATACTCAACATGCGATGAATGTCGAAAATTGAAACCACGTACAAGATCTCAAATTTTAGCGGTAAACATGCAAATCCCCAGTCCTTATCACGTTGGGGCCCCTGAATAACTTTAATGAACGAATGTAGCGCAGCCTCGGCTACCTGGTGATACTACAGCCTGTACACATAAGGACTTGTCGAAGGTAACACGTCAGGTCCACCACCGTGTAGATCGTCTCTCGCCGCACTAGGTAAAGAAATACCTCAAAGGTTTCCCGCAACCGTTTTATCTGAAAGCCAATCTCTATTTACAGAGTTTTTGCCTCCAAACCACAATCATTCTTGGGTTTGGCCAACCTCCGCCCAAAGTTCGTATTAATACACTGTTGTGGTATCATTGTGTGCCGATCTTTTCATGTCGGCCTCAATGTGGTTAAGAAAAAATCCATAAAGACGCGAATTTTCGTAAACAAACCCCCAAGCAACGGATTCCTTGATCGTGTTCTTTTCTTTTAATTACGAAACCTGATTACGACTTTGCGGTCGGAATACACCTCCGCCGTCTGTGATATAGTTCTCGCATTTCAGGCCTCTCAATAGTTGGTAGCGCTGTAGATAGGCCATTGCGTCTGAAGTGATCGAATTCTTCCAACATAGCGCTCTGTATCTGCACCGCTTAACCTCACCCCATCCGCCGAGTGCAAATAGATCCATACCGGTCTGCGGAGTGATTTCTCGCATGAAGCACGCGCTTGTCCAAGGCTATCAGTGACGCTTATTTTTGCAGGTGGTTTTAACATGACAGGGGGTTAAATTAAATCAGGAACAGAAATCTATAATTGTGTGGGCGCATCCAGGAAAAAATGCAATGAATCTAAACATACGTTTCCCTCTGTGGGGCGCAGATAAGACGGGCGCAACCTGATTCAACAGGTGTCGAGAGAAGATGGTGTTTGTGGGAATGCAGTGAGAAGTGCTAGGGTTATTTCAAGCACATGATTAATGTTGGTAACGAAAATAATGTGTTTGGCTTTCAAATGAAATCACTTTCTGGCAGGATTATGTGTTTCGGTGCATGTACACACTTTTACATGTAGACTTAAGTTTTTGAAGATCTATATTCACACAAAGACACTTTTCACAACAATTTCTATGATATTGTCACATCAGAATCTGACTTTATCAATACAGGTATGTTATCGATTTGGATAATATTTGACAACTAAGAATATGTTTGTTTCAGAGTTGTCGAATTATTAACGAAACGGTTATGAAGCAGTTTGAAGTTGTACATTAGCGGGAGCCTAGTTACCTCTGACTGTAACATCGAGCTCTTGTTTGCTTTTCATTTGACCCCTGAACCCGGATTCCTTCTGAGTAATTAGCTCTCGCATCATATTACCAAAACATGATCAGTAAAAACAAACTGAAATATTGAACAGGGCATCCATCAGTTTAAAATGCCACCTAAAATTCTTCAACATAAAATAAGCAATTATGCATCTGCAATTAGCTGTGGGAACAAAACCGTAAATGAAAGCAGCATATGTTGCGCGGATCACTTGACTTCACTCGAGTGCACTACTAACTCACCCAACTCACCATGTAACTCACCGTACTGGGAGGGGACGAGTGTCGATAGATGTACAGTGTACGTTATGCGTCTCTACCACAGACACTCACACTACTGGAGACCTGCAGTTAGTATGAAAGGTTAATCGACTGTATGTTGAACTGGAACGGTGAGTGAGTGAGTGTTGGTTGGGAGGGTGGGTGAGTGAGAGGGGGGGTGGATGTGTTGCTGAACGATTGAGTGAGTGAGTGAGTGAATGAGAGGATGGGAGTGAGCGAGTAAGAAGGCGGGTGGATATGTAGCTGAACGATTGAGTGAGTGAGTGAGTGAGTGAGTGAGAGAGGGATGGGAGTGAGCGAGTAAGAAGGTGGGTGGATGTGTAGTTGAATGATTGAGTGAAATGGTGGGTGCGTGAGTGAGTGAGCTAGTGAGAGAGAGGGTGGGAGTGAGTGAGAGGTAGGTGGTGAGTGAGTGAGTGATTGAGAGTGTGGGCGGTTGGGTGAGTTAGAGGTAATGTTGGTGTGTGGAAGGTAAGGGAGGGAGGGAGGTGGTGAGTGAGTGAGGGAGGGAGAGTGTGGGCGGTTGGATGAGTCAGAGGTAATGTCGGTGTGTGGTAGTGAGTGAGTGAGGGAGGGGGGGTGGTGGTGAGAGTGAGTGATTGAGAGTGTGGGCAGTTGGGTGAGTTAGAGGTAATGTCGGTGTGTGGGAGTGAGTGAGTGAGTGAGGGAGATGGTGGGTGGGTGAGCATGTCGTAAAACTTTAAACTTACAGTGACCTCGAGGGAGTGTAAGCTTGATGTTGTGTGTGTGTGGGTGGGGTGGGGGGTGGGGACGGGACGGGGACCACCAGGCTATTGAGAGAAGAAGACGACAGAATGGAGAGTGCGTTCTCCGTTACAGGTATGGAGTGGGACACATAGGATAACTGTGGGTTTGTTAGGGAAGTTTCGTGGTGTACGGTCTGGCGTGCGAGGTTGTGTTGCATGTGCTACATGTTACTATGTAACAAGTGGGAACCAGGGTGGAGAGGATCGTTTCTTGCTCGTGTCCGAGACGTTTGCCTTTCACACAACAAACCATGTTTTAACGGGTATTCAGTGTCCACAGAGGGTGGTGAAGAGAGACAGGGACGAGGTGGCTTCAGTAACTGTTGTGAAAAATAGCGCAGGTCAGCGGGTAAGGTTGTGAGTGTGTGGATTAAGGAGGGCAAAGGAGGGTGGGCAGGGACAAAGGGGCTTTGGGAGAGGGCAAAGGAGGGGTGGGCGAGTGGACAAAGGGGCTTTGGCGAGAGGGCAAAGGAGGGGTGGGCGAGGTGGACAAAGGGGCTTTGGCGAGGGGCAAAGGAGGGGTGGGCGAGGTGGACAAAGGGGGCTTTGGCGAGGGGCAAAGGAGGGGTGGGCGAGTGGACAAAGGAGGCTTTGGCGAGGGGCAAAGGAGGGGTGGGCGAGTGGACAAAGGGGCTTTGGCGAGGGGACAAGGGAGGGTGGGCGAGGGGACAAAGGGGGTGGGCGAGGTGGACAAGGGAGGGTGGGCGAGTGGACAAAGGAGGGTGGGCGAGTGGACAAAGGAGGGTGGGCGAGTGGAAAAGGAGTGGTTGGGGTGGACAAAGGAGGGGTGGGCGAGTGGACAAAGGAGGGGTGGGCGGTGGACAAAGGGTGGTGGGCGGTGGACAAAGGGGTGGGCGAGTGGACAAGGAGGGGTGGGCGGTGGACAAGGAGGGGTGGGCGAGTGGACAAAGGAGGCTGGGCGAGTGGACAAAGGAGGGTGGGCGAGTGGACAAAGGAGGGTGGGCGAGTGGACAAAGGAGGGCGAGGGACGAGAGGGTGGACAAAGGGGAGGGGTGGGCGAGTGGACAAAGGGGGGTGGGCGAGTGGACAAAGGAGGGGTGGGCGAGTGGACAAAGGAGGGTGGGCGAGGGGAGGGGGTGGGCGGAGGGGTGGGCGGGCGGTCGACAAAGGGGGGCAGCGAGGCGAGTGGACAAAGGGAGGGTGGGCGAGTGGACAACAAGGAGGGACGGGCAAAGGAGGAGGGGTGGGCGTGTGGACAAAGGGATGGGCGAGTGGACAAAGGAGGGCGGGCGAGTGGACAAGGAGGGTGGGCGAGTGGACAACGGGGCGGGCGAGTGGACAAAGGAGGGTAGGCGAGTGGGCAAAGGAGGGTGGGCGGGTGTCAAAGGAGGGTGGGCGTGTGGACAAAGGAGAGGTGGGCGAGAGGGCAAAGGGTGGGGGCGAGAGGGACAAAGGAGGGTGGGTGTGTGGACAAAGGAGGGTGGGTGGGGAGGGTGGCTGAGTTGACAAAGGAGGGGTGGGCGAGTGGACAAAGGAGGGGATGAGCGAGTGTAAATGGTACATAAGTATGACCCTGATGACCACCAGCTGAAGCATAGTAACTAATGGTATGACAAATTTCGTGATACTCGATTTACACCAAGTGTTGATACAACAGAAGAAGGGCGCTATTTTAAAAGAGGAGACGATGGGCGACCGAATCTGGGTTCAAATGGACACCATTATTTAAAAGTTCTGACATACCTTTATGTCGCAGTTTCTTCTGTTCCCATGGCAACAGATTTGTCTGAAAATGGCTCCAACGTCTGTATAAATTACGCGGTCAGTGAACTTTATTTGGGTTAGCGGTACATCGACTTGGAAGTCTGAAAATCCCGGGCTGTAAAAAAAACTACTGCAATAAAATGTTTCAATTGGTAAATGTTATCAGGAATGCTGGTATGACATCACGGGAGTGTCCGTTTATATCCTCAGCGAGGCATCGGTGATGCTTCACCTGCAGCATCTCAAGCGCGGTACCGTTACGGCATGCTTCATCAAAGGGTATAGTTAAGGAGAGGTTTGAGGCTGACGCGTTTCTATCTCCTGCCATATGAACCCGACTATCAAAGTTATTTATTAATTTAAAACATGATTGACTGTCTTCGAGTGTTGAACTCTAATCATCCTTCGATAAGAAATCCGTCGCTATTGTTCTTTATAGCAGACATACAATTATGTGTGTTAAACAGACGCCTGGGTCCGCTTTGGCGATCTTAACCCTTAAAAACCCATGAGACTGCCTGGAGGACTTCGGTCGTGCGTAGGTCGTTTTGTGGAAGCAAACCCTGAATAGTGGTCAGTCTTTAACAGTTGTATCACGTGGGTGTGGGGTGTGGGGTGTGGGGTATCGGGTGTGGGGTGTGAGGTGTGGGGTGTCGGATGTGGGATGTGGGATGTGGGATGTGGGGTGTGGGATGTGGGATGTGGGATGTGGGATGTGGGGTGTGGGGTGTGGGATGTGGGATGTGGAATGTGGGGTGTGGGATGTGGGGTGTGGGATGTGGGGTGTGGGGTGTGGGGTGTGGGATGTGGGGTGTGTGGGTGTGGGGTGTGGGATGTGGGGTGTGGGGTGTGGGGGTGTGGGGTGGGGTGTGGGGTGGGGATGTGGGGTGTCGGATGTGGGTGAGACGCACAGTGTGGTATGATGGTGGGAAGCAGGTATTAGACGGTTACCGCTCAGGAGAAACGCTTGGTTCCTACGTGTAAACATTGTCAGGCCGAATATGGGATTGAAACCCACGATAACAGTTTTCTGATACAACTCATCGCAGTGAATAGCTTGGGCTATCCGTTTTGTCATTAGAGTTAATATGCCGTATTAATATGCGTTCAGCAGCAACCGAAGATCTCTTATGACACCACCCTGGAAGATCCGGGTTAGAATTGATCTTCAGTGACCCATGCTTGTCTCCCCGTGAAGATCCGGGTTAGAATTGGCCTTCAGTAACCCATGCTTGTCGTAAGAGGCGACTAACGGGATCAGGTGATCAGGCTCGCTGACTTCGTTGACACATGTCATCGTATCCCAATTGTAGATCGATGTTCATGTTATTGATCACTGGATTGTCTGGTCCAGACTCGATTATTTACAGACCGCCGCCATATGGCTGGAATATTGCTGAGTGCGGCGTAAAACTAAACTCACTGACTGACTGACTCACTCACTCATTCACTCACTCACTCTTAAAACACACTGGCCTCGAACTTTGGTCCATCATCGAGCAGATACCAAATCTCTCCTTCCTCATCACCACATCAAAGCATACTGTTTTGGATGTATCCCAGAATGTTTTCATGAGACACTATGATAGACTATAGTGCCAAACAAATGGAACTCATGGAGAAATGATGTTGTTATACTAAGACTTCGGGCCCAAATACTGTATCATACACATTACAGTCAAACCATTGCTCTACTAAGAGTGCATGTTCCGATTCCAACTATATCACCGCCATCAGTGTGTGCATCATCTTCAGCCAACGGCGCTAATTGTGTAATCTCTCTGGGAGTAGCTTTTCGTGTGGAAAGATAAGTTTAAAGAAGCATACTTTTTGGCCAGATTGCTTGACATTTCTTTGAATATGTATCAAATACTTTTAACTGGATGACTTTTGAGATAAAAGTTCACTTTAAGGTGACTCGCATATTGTCTGAGGCGAAATTAGCACTCGATAATAGTGCATCTCTACATCTCTACAGCAGTCTTCACTCCAGTCGCAACTTGTCCCCTAGCTAAGATTGCTTTTGAGAAACAAACTTCAAGACGATAACACCGTGACTACGTAAGGTGTTCCATTTTGTCCTTCATCAAATCAATTTCTTGATCTTCATCAGGTCTACGTCTTGGTCTTTCGTTAGATCAATTTGTTGCTTCGTCAGATCAACTTCTTGGTCCTCCATCAGATTCACGTCTTGGTTCATTATTAGATCAACTTCTCAATCAACGCCTTAGTCCTTCGTCAGATCAACCTCTTGCTCATCGTATCAACTTATTAGTCCTTTACCGGGTCTACTTCTTGGTCCTCTAACAGATCAACTTTAATGGATGACCGAGTTGCAGTTCTACGGGACTACGGATCATGATAACCTGAACAATTGCACCAAGAAATTCTTTGTTGACCCCAGATTGTGTAAGGTTTAAAGAATAGCGATACGGTACAGTGGTCATGGGGGGATTCGGCCAAACCTTCCCAGGCTTGATTTATAAACCACTCCTATCAGATTACAAAGAGCAGCTTACCTCCGCACACTAACTGGGTAGAATGTTGGTAAATATCCTAATCCCCCCTTAAGCCACGTACCACTATCGGTGTATACGTTCCCAAAATACCTCTTCGATATGGAACATTATAATGAGAATAATGCTTGAAAACAGTATTGTGGTTAGGTAAGTACTGTACAAGCCTTAAAAAGTAATCAGCATGGAATTTGCCCTCAGTCCAGCTGAAGTAACGTATGTATAATAAAATTCTGAAGATAACGTGTCTGTTTTTCGTTGATCAGCAAAAGGAATAGTATACGTGTTTCAATGTTTCTGTATCATGCCTTTCTACACAGAAAAAATGTACTCTCTACTACCTAATAATAATAGTGTCTGTATACGTGTACTATAGGACTGTGGCATCTGAAAGGCAAATAAAGATTGATACTCGATCGCCCTCAATTACTGTGCTGTTCGCATGAAAGTGTTTGAGTATCATGCTCGCAAAAAACACGCAGATACAAGTAAATGGGCTCCGTGCGTTATATAATACACGTGTAAATCGTAAATTAGTGAGTGTGTTAGTGAGTGAGTATTGATTTACGCCGCTTTGTCAGTATTCCAGCAATATCACAACGGGGATACCAGAAATGGGCTTCACACATTGTACCCATGTGGGTTATCAAACCCGGGTTTTGGGTGAGACGAGCGAGCGCTATACCACTAGGCTAACATCGTAAATTAGTAAAGTCGAGGCGACATCTTCATGAATATTTCCTATATTCCAAATATATGTGGATCTCCCCTATTCATTGTATGGGTGACAATGCTCCCACTCTATATCTACTCTATGGAAGATCAGCCTCGACTTCGAGATTCAGCGTCCCACCTAATCACGGTGTACTATATACACTATAACTCTGTGTACAAAGGTTGACACTCAGCACCATGCACGTGCAAGCCACCATTGCCTCGTTTGGGGGACATCGTTTACTTGTTCGTGTGCAAACTTTGGCCAACATGGCACTACTCAAGAACTACCGCACGATATCAGAACACACCAGCTTGCATCATATTATAACGAATCCGCTTCCCCCCTCCTGTTTACAGACCCGATGTACATGTGCATTACTACACCGCTTTTTTCTCGATTTGATTATCAACCCTAGGAGCTGTACTAACAAGCGCCATCTGGGAGGCCCTCGTCGCTATGCAAGCGTCTGTACCGATAACTCACAGAAGACGGTATTTCGCGACCGCTAAATAATGTTTTCTTTGTAAATTGCGCTTCGGGCTAACTAGTTATCAAACGTTTTCTCAAATAAAGCGATTAAGCGATTTTGTCTTGAAGGAATCTCAACAGGTTCATCGTGGAGCACCGGGTATGGTGCGACCCAAGTCAAACACCCCCAATTAAAGCTAGATTTGCACTAGCGCACTGTTGTCTTAAACGTGTATGGTTGAACGTTTCAATATATCTATTTTTATATTCAACATTTTTCATAGAGCGTCAATACAGGAACCAGGGTTGCACTCATTTATATCATAAAACATACCAGTTGAGAATGAGATGAAACCGTTTCGTTCAGTCAGCAGTCGTGTACGTGTTTTGACAAACTTTAATTTGAACCTAATGCACTGAGTTCAACTTGTTGTACATACAGCGGGAGATGGAATGCCTCCCCATCTATACCGTGAAAGACGTACTCAATACAAACATCCAGGTGAGAGTCACCAGTTGGGGATAATTTCTTTATAGTTTTTCTTTAACTTTAAAGTGCTTGTGATGAAATGACAAAACGGACCACTTCAAAGACAGGGGTAAATGTCCTCCGTAGTGAACCTATAACACGCGCTTCAGTTCTAAAGAGAAACAAGTTCTTCAAAAGTTGAAGAACAAAAGGTATCCCTTGGCGGGTCTGGAACCTCTGTCTCTCTAATTGTCTGCTTGAGAGAGGAGCAAATGGGATTGTTTACACTCGGAATAGCCCACACCATTCTCTACAGCACGTGCTGCACGTGTCTCTGCCTACAGAGGGACCTATTCGGTGAAAAATCGGGCGGCAACGAACTGAACAGTTTTGACATGTGATATTACAAGTGAGTTTAGTTTTACGCCGCACTCAGCAATATTCCAGCTCTATGGCGGCGGTCTGTAAATAATCGAGTCTGGACCACACAATCCAGTGATCAACAATATGAGCATCGATCTGCGCAATAGGGAACCGATGACATGTGTCATCCAAGCCAGCGAGCCTGACCAACCGACCCCGAATATTACAAGTGACATAATTGAGTACATAACATGCATTACTGGTTGAAGTGATATTTATTTCACATACGTTATAAACACATACGCACGCATATAAAGTCCCATAGATGATTGCTGCCTCTACACTAGAGTTTTCACACGCCATATTCGTTCACATCGTCGTAACTCGCCAGAGTATTTTGACGTTAGAATACTGGTCAACTGAGATCACGACAAAGTTTCTTTCTTTAAAACAAAAATAGTTCACTGTTTGCCGAATTCCCAAACTTTCTTGTATTTAGTTACTTCGTCTGTATGCATCCCTTCTATGTAAGTGTACATGTCCAGACGTCCACATAATTCAGTGGTTAGGAAATTGAGCTCCCCAGTCTCCTCACTGAGAGGGTGAGTGAGTGAGTTTAGTTTTACGCTGCTTTTTAATATATTCCAGCAATATCACGGCGGGGGACACCAGAAATGGGCTTCACATATTGTACCCATGTGGGGAATCGAACCCGGGCCTTCGGCGTGATGAGCGAACGCTTTAACCACTGGCCATCTACCGCCATCTCCTCACTGAGAGTTACATATACGTGGTGTATCAAAGGTCAAGTCGGACTGAGTCTCAAGTGGTCAATACTTGTGGATGAGGGTCCAGGGAGCCCACACCACCCCGGGCACTCTCTGCCACTTGTCTTGGTGGGTTCTTGTAGACGGTCAAGCCCGGGTCAGCTTGTCCCCTCGGGCTGACTGCCTAACAACATGAAAGAAAGACCACACGTAAATCGACAGAATCCGGTGTATATGAGATGAAGTTAAAGATGAACTGATATTCACAAAAATAATTTTTAAAAATCTTTAAGTGCATATCATGTACGTATTTTTAACCATTTGTTGGGGTTTTCTTTATTTAAGAAAATGACGTTCGTTTGTTTATTCCATTTCTCAAATTAATATGCACAACGTCGCCATGATATATGTTGTATGTGTTTTTCTCTTCCTTTCTCTTTAATAGATTCATTTTGTTAATTTTTATTAAAGAGTAAAACAACGTTTTCACACCATCTGAATGTGTTGCGAGCGTTGTTTAGCATGCTAGGCTAAGCATTCACACTTTAGCGTTAACAGCTATGCGAAGAAGTCAGAATGCGAAGTGAAGTGGAATACTACAACTCCCATGCATAAACAGGCCAACTTGTTAAAGACATTCCATCACTGCTTCCAAACAAAACCTTTTTGACACACAAGTTATTTCAAGAATGTTAAAAATTACGCGAAAATCCCCTCGAACACGTGTCGTAGAATTACTTACTGGCAAAACCTTCGGCGCCCTGCACTTTCCTGCGCTAAGTATGCTGAAGTGTGTTTCTCCAGAAGAACAGAGAAACGCAGGACCGATTTAACAACTGTTAGGGCTCTCAAAGAAACAAGTGTATGCATTTTAAAGCTATCGTGAAAGATTGTGGGGGTTAAATTGGTAGAAGGCAAAACAGGGGGTCAAATCTTCGCATGGAATTCAAACCGCCGGGCTCTTGGTAGACAGTCAAGTAAACCGCAAGTGCTGCACGGGCCAGACATTCAGCACGTGCTCGGGGAGTGCCGACTCAACGGGCCATCAGGGGCATGTAAAAGGCGTGTAAATCATGTTCCGTGGAAATGTTAAAATCTACTTGAGTGTAAAAGATATGAATAACGTGCTATTCAAGTTCATTGAACGAGCCACACGGTAATCAAACAAATTCAATGCACGTGCAAATGCTGTGAAAACACCGACGTAAGTACGTAAGATTCATATATAAATACCTGCAAACCCAAGTAAATGTAAATCTATGAGAATTTTAGTGTAAACAATTGCCAGTTATTGATGTGTTTTTTGAGGGGTGAACACGACAGAAAAAGTATTACCTGACAACACTAATAGCAATGGCTTTATGTCCACGTGTTACAGCGATTAAGCTGAATTAATTGTTCCTGTGTTGACGTTGATGAATTACTGGACATCTGAAGCTGATAAAAAGCCGAGTAAAATGGGGAGACTGTTCACATTCACAAACGAACGAGCTTTGATTGCTTTTACTGGCAATTAGGTTTCGCTGGAGATGTTTCTTCCAATATACTACTCCCTGGTAGAGCGTTGGTTTGTTGTTTAACACCGCACTGAGCAATATTCCTTCTATGTGGCGGCAGTCGTTAAATAATCCAGTGATCAACAGCATGAACATCGGTCTACGCCACTGGGATAGGATGACATGTGTCAAGATAGCGAGCCTGACCACCGATCCCGTTAGTCGCCCCTTACGGCAAGCATGGGCTACTGAAGACCAATTCTAACCCGGATCTTCACAGGTCCCCAGGTCTAGCAAAACAAATGTTCAATAAGACAAAAAGCTCAATTTCAATGCTGTCTCCGTAGTCTTACGGACAGGGGGTCTTCCCGGACTGCACAACTCGGTGGTTCAATCTCAGGTCGCCAAAACAGATGAAACTTATTGTTACCTTTCCTGGCGCTCAAAATAAAGGCAATTTTCGGGGGGTGGTCGGCTCGGACTCAGTATAATGTGTCCATGTTAAACTGCGGCATGGTATATCAAGTGGTTAGTTCTACGTGAGGGAGCGGTGGGGTAGCCTAGTGGTTAAAGCGTTCGCTCGTCATGCTGAAGACCCGGGTTCGATTCCCCGCATTGGTATATTGTATGAAGCCCGTTCCCGATGTCCCCCGCCATGATATTGCTGGGATATTTCTAAAAGCGACGTAAAACTATACTCACTCACTCACTATAATGTGAGTTTGGGTTTTTATGTCTCTTTGAAAAATATTCTATTTTTAACACGGTTTATCAACTGGATGTGGAAGGAAAGTCGGAAGTGATGTCGGTCTCAGACATTTTACCATTTTGGTGGAACCCAAGAACACCGGCATGGTTCTGACAATATAGAAATGTGGTGCGATAGAACCATGGTTCGAACATATAGGTGCCCGAGTGACGCAACTCTGCACATATAATTGCGTCAGCTAAGAGGACGGGCAACGTGCCCCCGCTAATAACTTGGCATTAATAAACCGCACACGCACGCACGCACGCACGCACGCATGTGCGTAGCTGTATTCCTGCAATAATCTTACACACGACTGAGTTTAGTCCAGACGTCCACATAATTCAGTGTTTAGGAAATTAAGCTCCTCAGTCTCCTCACTGAGAGGGTGAGTGAGTGAGTTTAGTTTTACGCCGCTTTTAGCAATATTCCAGCAATATCACGGTGGGGGACACCAGAAATGGGCTTCACACATTATGCCCATGTGGGGAATCGAACCCGGGTCTTCGGCGTGACGAGCCAAAGCTTGAACCACTAGACTACCCCACCGCCCCCTCTTACACACGATATTAAACTCCAGATCGGCTCGGGGGCGGTGGGGTAGCCTAATGGTTAAAGCGTTGGCTCGTCACCCCGAAGACCCGGGTTCGAATCCCCACATGGGCACAATGTATGAAGCCCATTTCTGGTGTCCCCCGCCGTGATGTTGCTGGAATATTGCTAAAAGCGGCGTAAAACCAAACTCAGTCAGTCAGTCAGTCCAGATCGGCTCACCTCAATCTTCACTTGGATTGTGTTCAGCGTTGATGAAATCATAAGCAAGGTCTTTCGTAGTCATACTTGGAAGGAATATATTACAGTAAACTCCCTGGATCTCGAACCCCAAGGGACCATCAAGACAGGTTCGAGATATCGTTTGATTCGAGATTGAAATGCATTGTATATATGCACATTGTGTACATACTACTACATACATTGAACTTGTATACGACAACGTAGAAAACAATAAATCTCTGGTTTCATTCTTTTCACAGTAATTGCAAATTTACGTAATTAACTGTTTAACCCAAATTCATCACATTGATGAATTTAATATCGAAATATTGGTGATCTGTAGCCAGAGTTTGATCTTGGTCTTCCCTTTCAAGAGTTCATGGACAACATGGAGTTCTCACCTATTTCAATGACACCGGGTGTCTACAGGGTCTGAACAGCTTATAATTATGTCATCGCAATGTGTTGCACTAACCTGTCGGTACCATTAGTCACAGGGAATTGTGTGGTAGCAATGTCGAACCTGCATTTCTGTCACCGTATCCAAATAAAGCAGGGTGGTGGGGTAGCCTAGTGGTTAGAGCGTTCGTTCGTTCGTCCCGAAGACCGGGGTTCGTTTCCCCCATATGAATGCAATGTGTGAAGCTCATTTCTTGTGTCCCCCCGCCGTGGTATTGCTGGAATATTACTAAAAGCGGCGTAAAACCATACTCACTCACCAGATGAAGCGTGCTATGTCCGAGGCTTGAATGGCTTACTTCTGATTGTCGCCTAAAACTACCCTAACTGGTCCTGTTAACGGACATTCAAATGGCGTATTTAGGTTTCATGTAATTGGAATTTTCTTCCGTAATAGTTCAAACTAAGTTACCCACAGAAAGCGGTAATTGTCTTTCCGAAATTTCGGTGATACCACTAATTTGGCACCATGGGGTTGAAGAAGAATTTGGCTGCATTTGCACTAAATAACTCCGCGTTACCCCAGGGGCTAAAGAATGATCGTAAATACATTTCCGCCAGGAATGCACATGCGTCAAGCGGAGGTATTTCAGTAAATGCGCCTCAGATTTTTTGTGGGACCTCATATTTGTTGGAAATGAATTTCATGACCTTTTCATATGCCCGAGGCCCAACTCAAGCCTGTCAAGCTTTGGAGATTGTGCAGGTTTTCATGAAGGCAGCGTTGGCAACATGGTCCATACCAGTCTGTGCTGTTCGTGCCAAAACAAAACCAGGTTTAGAATATCATAATTGATAATGAAAAGGTCTGTGTGTTTAATTACAACCATTTCCGCGGATTTTAGGTGGCATTCTTTTCTTTTCGATTTTTTCCTTTATGAACTGAAATTTGAAAGATTTTAAGCGGGTATTCAGGTAATATTCAGGTAATTGTATCCCTCCGTAATGCACCAGTGTTCAGTATCACTATTTGTAGACGATAATGTGGATAACGTCGAGCTCATATTTTGGTATTGTTGGGTTGACTGGTCAAGACGCCACTCAACCGGTCAACTAACGCGCTCTCCATTATTGAGCTCATGTGCCGTTATTAGCTAAAATACTGTTGCCGGTGACGTTGACAAACGCACCCCTCAACACTAAAATCACTTGCTTTAACTAAACTGAAGGCTGCTTAAGGTAATGTTACCAAACGCTCTCAACATGAAACTCACCAGCGGTAATTACCTGAAATGTTGTTCAAGGTGCCAAGTCATCCCACTAAGTCAGACATTGACATGGAAGTAACCAATACTCTCAACTGTTTTTGCCACAGATAATTCAGAAACATTCTTTTCGTTGTACAGAACAAGCTGTTCCTTGTACACATTAACATTGTTTGTAAGCACGCTATCATGTGCCAACATCATCCTCCAGTTCAGTTTGTTTATGGTAAAGTGATTAATTGCAATGTGCACATGATCACAGAAGCCCCGTCCCACCATGTACTGTGTAACCGTAAACTATATTTGATATACCTGCTTATACACTTTAACCAAAATATTTTCAAGTGTCTATAATTAATTAACAACTCTCGGAGCTTTGTACCGAGCTCTTAATGACACACTTGAACGCTCGGTTTTGGCATCATTAGTCAATTTCGGATTAAAATAACACTTAGAAGCCTGGGCATCAAAGCAGCAGGAACATGCTGAAAGACATGTTACAGGTTTTCAGCCCTTCCAAGACATTCCAACGGCGACATTGTACGAATACCGACCGATTCCTAGGGGAACACCTGTGGTGGTTGAAAGCGCCATCGACGGGCAACTTATTAACCCACATCAGGCTAATTACATCCTTGGCTCAAGAACAGGCTGCAAAACAAACAATATGTTGCAATGACTTTCGTGGCAAATGTTAAGTTTTCCAGTGACGCGAATGATTTATTTTAACTGAGTATACTTTGTTTCGGTATGTGGAAGTTAGCATGGGTACTATGAGAGAAAAACATGAGATGGGGGATGAATTCCGACTGGTTTGGTAGTCATTGGTTGAGAGTGCCATGCCGCTTGAAATATTTACAAAACTATTTACTGACTTGGATGTACGCGAGGTTTATTTGTAGGCTATGAATGACCAACTTTTGGGGATTTTATGTTAAATTTATATGAGTTCGCAGCAGGAAAGGATTCGTAAACGTTTTACAGCACGTTTGAAATTGTTCCTGGAACTTATATAATTCTGTGTGAATGATTTTCCTTCTTCAGGAAGCATAAACATCCCGTTACGACCCTGATGAAGTTCCACATGGGAATTCGTTGCACTGGGTCACAATGTTAAAATGTAGCCAGTCGATGTTCTTACAACAAAAGTAACTTCAGATCTCTTTAACATGTTCTTTTTTTAATGTCTGAGAAAGGGGACACCGTTTTTTTTTATAAACGCACTACGACTGTTGCTGACGACAAAGGCCTCATGGTTTACGGTCTATACTGGGCCGAACCGCAATACCTGACAATACCAAATAATACTGTGACTGC